CCGACGGGCTGGCGGCGAGCGCCGGGAGAGCGCGCCGGGGCAGCGAGGAGGGAGGAGCGAGGGGAGCGCGGGCTGCAGCCGCCCCCGCCCCGCGCCCGCGCCTCCCGCGCGCAACAGTTCCCCCAAAGTTGCGGCCGGGGAGGCGCGAAGCCGGCGGGGGACGCGGCGTCGGCCCGGCGCGCGCAGCCCCAGGCGGGCGGCGGCATGGGCACTCGGCAGACCAAGGGCAGCCTGGCGGAGAGAGCCAGCCCGGGCGCGGCGCCCGGCCCCCGCCGCGAACGACCCGACTTCTGGGCGTCGCTGCTGCTGCGCGCCGGGGACAAGGCGGGGCGCGCGGGCGGTGGGCTACCCCCCTACCACCGGCGCGTCGGCATGGTCCAGGAGCTGCTGCGGATGGTGCGCCAGGGCCGGCGGGAGGAGGCGGGGACGCTGCTGCAGCACCTGCGCCAGGTGAGCACGGGGAGGGGGTGTGGGGGGCGCGGCGGCTCCCGGAGCGCCCCGCCCCTACGAAGGGGGTGACAAGAGAGCGCCGGGAGGCACCGCCCAGGGTCCCCCTTTCGCGGGGATGGAGCGGTGTGGCAGCAGGTGCCTCTGCGTTCCTGCTGAATTTGGGGCCTCAGGCTAGGGTGAGGAAGGCTGACCTGGCAAGGCTGGTGAAAGGGACCTGTTGGACCATTGTCCCTGCTTCTCTCTCCACAAGTCCCCAGGGATAGTTGATGAGAGGGGACACAGAGATGCATGCCTGGTCTGGGCCAGGGTTCTCTTCCTCTCTGCTCACAACCTGTCACCCTCTTCCAAGGGTCCCCAGGGAATGCGCAGTTAACTGCTAAAGCCAGCTTCTGAGGTATATCCCTAGGACCGGTAAGATTTCAGTCCCTAGGTCGTTTGCCACCAGGAGATATTGTGTATTGTGGTTTCATCTCCCCAAAGTTGACTGGTCCTTGCCGTGAGACCCCGGCAGAAGTCTTGATCAGAATCAAGCTAGGCTTGGTTTCTTGGCCAGCAGGAACGGAGGCTGCTGACCTGTACTCTACCCTCAGACTGGTCCTAACCCACTGAATAGGGGCAAACTACAGATCTGGTCAGTTCCCTTTACTCAAGGGCTAGTGCGTCACGCACTTCTCGGTTTTTGTTTTCCTTTCTCATTTTCTTTTGGGAAAAGTGGTAGCCTGTACTACAGGGTCTTCCTGAGTGGCAGAGGCAGGTGGGTGCATAGGTGCAGACAGAATGGCGATCAGATTGGTTCGATCTGGTTTTGTGGCACAGACTCACGCAGATGTTATATTTTTGCACAGACCTTCTTGGAGGACCCCTGTAGATAAGCAGTGTGCTGCAAATGGGGGAGGGAAAACCTCAGCTGACCTTTGTGAGGTTTTCCCATTACTGATAGAAGAAGCTGTAGGGACAACTTCCTGGGAGGAGCTTCCAGGATCTAATTGGATCCACGTCTCCCTGGATTCTGTACCATGGCTTCCCTCACACCCTATAATGTTTCTCTGGAGTTTGTTCCTAAGGTGTGCACTGCAAAAGAGAGAGAGCTAGAGACTTGGGAACTTGGGAGGGTGTAAAGCTTCCACCTTTGCCTCTAGTTTTCCTGACATCCACAGTGATTCCCTGGAGGCTGCTGGATCCTCAGATACCTTCCCTGGGTTGAATCATCAAAGAAAGATGACATTTTACACCGTGTAACTTTAGTGATGTGTATTTCTCTGTCCTTTAAAAATTAGAAGCCAACCTTGTATGGCCTCCATCGTAGCTCTGTCACTTTCGCACAGAAAATGGATTTCCCAGACCATCATAAGCTGTCTGTGCAATAGGCAGCAAGAGGGTTGTACCAATCACATGCTGCTTCCCCAGTGCTGGGAGTGCTGCTCTGAAGAACACCAAAGCAAGGCAAAAACTGACAAGCCCTTATTGAGGGGTGGGGAGAAAATTAAGGCAGCATTGGCAAGCAGCAGTTAGAAGCCCACTGGAGGAAGCCGATGTTAGGGGTATCCGGTATAATTACACATTGCATTGTGGAACCTGGGCCTCTCCCTTTAGGGTCTTCTGCTTGTATGTCTTTGGCTCTCTCTCTCTGGCACCTCTCCAACCACAGGCCCAGGAGGGCTAAAGGGAAGAGGCAGGGTTAATCAGACTTCCCCCTTTTCTGGGGCTCCGTGGTCATGTGGCTAATGATGAGGGGTGTGGACCTGGAGAGCTGCCCTGTGTTGCCTGTAATGTGGGGATCAGAGCCCTTCCAGGAAATGGTCATTGGCCTTAGGCATGTGAGAGTGGGGCTCAGGGATGTCCAAGTGTCTGTGACAAATGAAAAGGGTGTTGTCTAGGACCCTGAAACCAACCAGCGGAATGTCTAGCCAGATTTGTGCTGCAGTCTGAGTGGCTCTCCCCCAAGATACTATTTCCATCTTAGTTTCCTCCTGGCAGGAACCCGGGCAGTTTGGCCGCCCCCTCTCACATAGTACTTTCTCCTGTATTTAATAACATTGGACACTAAGTGTTTGGATTTGGGTTTTTTTGAAGCAAGGTCTTGTATGTCCCAGGCTGGCCTCTAGCTTACTGTGAAGCCCATGATGACCTTGAACTTCTGAGCCTCCAGCCTCCACACCCGAAGTGCTGGAATTACAAGCACAGGCCACCACACCCAGTTTATTCGATCCTGGAGATCCAGCTTGGAGCCTTGTGCATGCCGGGAAGACATTCTCTCAACTGAGCTACTCCCCAGCTGTTGACCCCGGATTTCTATGTGTTCAGAACGTATACATGGTTAGAGGAAGCATTGATCCATAGCTCCTATGCTCCTGAAGGAATCGATCTTCCTGAGGCTCTGAAAGAGCATCACACGCGCCTCAGACAAATGCACCTGATCTTGCAAAGACTTTCAAGAGATACACAGGGCTTGTGTGTGCTACAAGTTTAGAGTCAATGCTCCTCTCTCCTGCCTCTATTTCTCCTGCTTTGTGTTTTGCACACAGAAATAATTCGGGACCATGTGTTCATGGTAAGCTGACATATTATGGCTGCTGTTGCCGCTTGTAAGATGCAGGGACTGTTTTCTTGCTTGGAGATTCTCCAGCTTATCACCTGTGGAAAGGCCTCACGCACAGTTCAAGAGGTTCAGGGAGAATGCCAGGCAGTTGCCTTGAAGGATCACAGAGGCATCCTCTTCCCTTTAGGAACAGTATAAACTGAGAAAGGCCTGGGACCAAGAATCAAGTCTGGGTGGCTTGCCTTTGGTCCTCAGTCTGCTGTGACCTTGGTCCCAGTGGTAACCTCTCTGAGTCGTGTTAACTCATTTCCCGAAGAGGCATCCTGGGTACTGAGCAGAGCAAATGCTATCAAGTGTGAAATTTTGTTGGCACTGCCAATCAAGGTGTGTTCTCATTGCAACCAGGAGGATCTGGCCTACTTTGGGTATAGCTGGGTTAGGGACAAGAACATGTGGCCTTTCTCTTCAGGCCTAAACCAAGGAGTTCCTGGTTCAGAAGCAGTCTGGAACAGACGCTCATACGAATAAAAGAGCTCATTCCCTGACTCTTTTCCCATCACACCCTCACCTAGGCCTTCCACTTCTCTGTGCATCTTGGGCTTAGGGACTCAGTCTTGCTGTTTTAGGTGTCCTGGAGAAGGAATGATCTGACAAAGAAAGTGCCAGGCTGCACAGAAGGTGCATCTCGCTGACTCAGTTCAGCCGTCTTTCTTCAGTCCCCAAAATTTCAGACTGTGTTGTTGTCCTGCTTCATGAAATAGCAGAATGAGAAACAGGCATACTCCCCGCCAAGGTGACCCATCTCTGAGTTCACCAGTGTCCTTGCCATGTTAGTCAGCTGTTCATATGACAGAATGCCTGAGGTTATCAGCTTGAGAGCAAGGCTCTGTTTGAGCTCATGGATTCAAAGGTTTCAGATAGTCGTCATTTGGGCCTGTGGTAGGGCAGTACATCATGGCAGGGAGTGTGTGGGAGGAAGCAGCTCACCTCATCGTGACTAGGAAGCAAAGAGGAAGGAGCCAGGGACCCAAGACATCTTAAGATTTCCACTACTCAAGAGCACCACGTGTTAGAGACTCATGGTCTTTGAAGGACACTCATCCAAACCCTAGCATCTACTTCCTGCAGAGTCCAGTTAGGCTGGTTTACTACTGGTGTGGTGTATCCCTAATAGGCAGAGCAGTTCTTCTGTTTGCCTGCCTGACTGGCCTCATCTCAGTGTGGCCTGGATTCGTGGCTCTAGGTACTGTCTGGAATGGTAAGCTGTCTTCCTATGCTCGAAAGCAGAAACCACACCCACAAACACAAGAACCAAACACATGGGCTCTAGGGTGCTACACATATCATTGACCCAAGAGGAGCTGGATAATGTCCAAGCACCTGGAGACTCCCTGTTGACTGACAGGTCTCCTGTCCAAAGACAGACAAGCACAGTAACATTTGAAGGTCATCTTTTCCCTTCCAAAATCCTCCCAAGAGAATCTCTCTGGGTAAGCCAATGGGAAGGCAGGTCCCCAGTGTCACCTCTTAATTCTTCTTCCACCTGGAACGCATCTTGTTTCCACACATGTTCTTTACTTTCAGCAGGCCACCTTCCTGAGCACACCAGCCCATTCTCTGGCATCTAGTTTGCATGTAAGTGTAAGGTATTTTAGTCATTCATGGTTTCCCCACATGACCTTTGGTTTGTCAGACAAGGTCATGTGCTTCCTGAGAGTAGAGACCGACCATTACCAGTGTGCATGGTACAGTATTGAAAACCTGCAGGTTTGTGATACTCCTTAGGAAGTCTTTGTGCTATAATAGTATGTGTATAGACTGTCAACATGTCAGCTCGGGAAGCATTCGGATGCCCTGTTTCAGCCCTACATCTGATTTATCAGGCTGCCAGTATGACTGTGAGATCCTGTGCATTTGCTTTTAGGTTTCTGGGCATGCCAGTTTTCAGGAAATCCCTGATGGCCACAAGCTTGATTGTGCCTGGCATCCTGCCAGGTTGAGGTGTTCTTGGAGAGAGGAGTGGCATGGTGCCCAGCCTTGGCACCACAGGATCCTATTGGGCAGGTGTAGTCTGGGCCCTCTGCTGAGGTGGCAGGAGAGGAGCAAAGCCTGACGGGAGAATTGGGCCTCCCCGTTCCTAGTCAGCTCCTGTGGGATCGCAGGCATTCCCTCCACAAAGGAACCTTAGTTTTTGAGCTCTGGTCATCTGTCTGGCCTGTGTGCAAACATTTCTAGTGATAGAGGTGCAGAGGCTTCTGATGTCAGGACCTGCTTTGTTCCTTTCCATAGCTGCCAGGGACACTGGCCAGGGACACAGCGATCTCTGTAGTGGCCAGACTAGCCACAGGGCCTAGAGTAGGCTAGTCTCTGACTTCATGGTCTGATGGGGCAGGAAAGGAGTTTCTCTTTTTGGAACAAATTTTGGAGATTGCCAAAAGCTGTTTTTAAATCCAATGTCTCT